AGTTCTTTAGAAACTCTTGCAGAACCAGGACGGTGACCCATGGCCAAAACGGGCACACCCATGAGAACGGAACAAAGGTGGAAGGTTCTTGTGTAAAGATAAGTCAATGTTTACACGACGGCAGTATAGTTCAAGGACATCGAGTCTACTAGACAGCCAGTAAATAAACGTGTCTTTACAACGGAAGGTTCAAAGGATAAAACCTACCTCTCCGTATGCAAGGATCATCCGGTGAACACAACGTGTCCTCCTATCTTCGTGTCTTTTTAAGTCTCGAAAATCAATTTTCATTCATGTGGGGGATTGTTGGGAAAATGTGTTAAACAATTGCATTAAATGGTCATTTTGGGGCAATTATTTTAGTGGGGTCCACTTCCGATTTGGGTCGGGTTAAAGTGGTTTCGGATTGTCCTTGTTAAGGGCTATAATTCGATATATGGTACGCTCAAAACGGATAACGGGTGAATGAGAAATTGATTCTCGAAGTTCGCTCGTTGAAATGAAAAAACTCGGAAAACGGTGAGTTTCTAGTGTGTTTTATCCCACACCGAAAAACTCAAGGGATTTTCACCCCCTTATAAAGGGAAGCCTCTTTTAAGGAGTTAAGATTCCTAAAGGGTAAGGCTCTCTCTTACGCGCAGGGGGGGGGGGGGGTGCCGATCAAATCCCGAAACGGAGAATAAAAACCGCGACTCGTGTGCGCGAGCGACCTGCGGACACGAATGCCGTCCAAAAATCTATCTCTCAAGAGATACGGTTAATTTTTGTTTTCTTCCCGAAACGTTTATTTTTTCCCAGAAGTGCTCCGGACAGAAGGCTTCGACCAGAACCCCTCAAAGGGGTGTTCTGTTGGTTACGAACAGAAACCCTCGAAGGGGTGTTCTGTTGGCTACGGACAGAACCCCTCGAAGGGTGTTCTGTTGGATTCGGACAGAACCCCTCGAAGGGGTGTTCTGTTGGCTTCGGGCAGAACCCCTCAAACGGGGTGTTCTGTTGGGGTCTTCTGTCGCACAATTCTTCCGTTACAACAATTAATGCCCAATGTTCTTCTCTTTTAATGCTGCGTTAAATGGACAGTTTATGAACGATTCAATGCCCAACGGACTGGTCATTGATGTCCAACGTTCAGGTCCATTAACACCCCATTTAACACACAACAAATCCTCCTATAAATAGCTGGCAGGTGCTTTGCAACAAACACACGGTTTGACAACGCACAATACTTTCCTCACGTTTTCTTGAGCTAAAAACTCTTCCAGCACTCCCAAATTTCCCTAGTGTTCTGCTATTGTTCCAGTTCGCCGGGACTTTCGTTTGTGTGCTCAAACGATCGTTCGTTAGCCACCGTATCCTGGGAAACGGTCATTGCAACGCTCCTAGCACCGTGGGAGGCGACGAATACGTTTTAAGGACATCGTGCGTAGCACGAGCTCTGGCTAAAATCTGCTCCATCTTATTTTCTGTTTTCTTTTAGCTATTTTGTTTATTAATTAACTTTATTTAATTAATATTTCTTCGTTTTTTCCGAAACACACTAAACAGTTTCATCCACCAACACCACTTTTTCGTCCATTTCCCCCCTTGCAGCCCTGTAAGCCATCCTCCTCAAATCCGAGTCCAACACCAACGACGTGGTTTCAGCTGGAATAATCGATGCAACGATGAGGATGACACGGTTGATTTCCCGCTCGAACAAGAAGCTCCTATCAACCAACCCTTAATATTGAGGTAATAATTTGTTTTGATTTTTCGGATTTTAGGGTTTTATTTATTTAAAATTTCTGCTTTTTTGTATATTATGTATGGTATAACACTTAATAGTTGCGTGCTTTGTATTGTTGTAAGAGAATGTAGTGTTAATTATTGAAATTTTAGTTCATTTTTTATATTCCACATTTATGCTCATAACATGTTTGTTGAAATGACTCGATGATATTTTTTGGTTTAAATCCAAAACTTTTACTCCTTTTTTTAATTAGTTCAAGATTTTAATTTTCTTGTTTTCACTAGACTTTTGACTAGACTCGTCTCACCTCTTGGAGGTTGTTTCTATGGATAATGGATGCTTGAAATATTTGCTCCTCTACCTCTTTGATTGGGAGCACAGTCAAATTCAGGAATGAAATTGGTGGAGCTTGTATCCCTATGATTTCAATCCTTGGAATTAGTTACTTTAGAATGTGAGTATTCGCAATGACTATTTGGAAAACCTTGTTATAAATCCACAGAGGCCAACCTCAAAGGGATTCACTTATAGTCTTTTTTTGTAGACCAGGCTCTCCTAAATGTGTTGAAGATGAGATTAGGCTCCTAGGTGTTATTTTACCTTTTCACCAATTATAACTGTTTTAGTAAGATTATTTGGCTTATATGCTCGAATTTCTCAATGTTTTTGAAAGGAAAATCATTCGGTAAAATTAATTTCAACCAAACAAGACAAAAGCTATGTATGTCGCTTATTTTGCAAAGTAGAATAAGCCACTTTTGGCTATCAAATGGGTTACAAGTAGTGTAGAAATTGCATATCATATATAAACAACATTTGAAGTGAAACAATGATAGAGGCGGGTCACTCAAGTTTTGTAAATGAAGGATCAGTTTTATGACATGATAAGAATATTAAGTAGGACATGATTTGAATGGATCAGATAACTAGCTTCATTTATCACTTGTGGCACAGTGAACTAGGCGGAAGGAGAACAAGGCGGAGGGCGAGCTAGGCGGACAGAGAGTGAGGCAGATGGCGAGCTAGGCGAACTCAGATGGAGGCTGACGGAGAGCTAGATAGATAGAGACCGAGGCAAACATAGAGTGAGGTAGGAGAGGGGAGGACAGAGACCGGCTGCATCGATTATTAATTTTTAATTTTTATGCCATCTTATATCCAGCATTTGATATTTTTTGTTTCACCAATGATTTTTACTCTTGGCCCCTATACGTGTATCTCATCTTTCACTTCCTTTGTCAGTTTGCTTGACCACTGGAGCTTATTCAAAATGACTTGATGCTGCTGCAAAGGGAACCTCATTCTTGCCCTCACTCTTAGATATCCTTGTGAGTGGCATGAATGTGTGTGAAGATTCAGCAGCTGCTGCTGCTTTGGCATTCAAATATTTATGCAGTGGTATATGCTATGCTATAGGTTTTAGTAGAGTTGATGTAATACCGTATTTATTTTGTTTTTCAGATTTTTGTAGGAATATACCGTTTGCTATTTTTGTGATATATCAGCAGTTCGGCTATTTATTTCATGATTCAATTTAAATGCTAACACTTAAAGTTGTCTGTAGACTGCAAGAAAGAACTTCATCGATACATGGATGGGCTCTTTCAAATATATGAAAGGGCAAAAAATGGTGATGGCACCTTCAATAAGGTTAAACTTAAATAATATATTTTGTGGATCTTATGCTTTCTTCTTCTTTTGCAGTTGGAAATGCCGTTCAAACTTGAGGACCTAGTGTTTTGTAAGTTTATTATGTATTATTACGTTTAAGTTATTAGTATCTACACTTTTAGTTGAGTATATGCTTTTTTCAAGAAAACTAAATTACTGGAGAGTGTGAAGTGTGAACATTGCAACATGTACTGTAATTGAGTTGTCTAACTCGTGAAATTTATTTCCTACTTACCCCGATTCCAGGATTTTAAAATTATTAATCTAAGCGCTTGAAGTTTTGTTTTATTTTATCTCAATACATTCGATAAGAATAGTTGCTACACACTGATTTGTTGCTTCACATATCCTGATTCCATATGAAATTGCTAGTTGTCCAAGCATAAGATTGTAGGGGTTATTACAATATTCTTCAATCATGATATAACTGCTAATTTGCTGATTTATTTAAAACATTGTTTGACCTACTTGTTTCAGTTACCGTGTTTTGGGACGTTTTGATATGTGTATGTTGCGGGTATGGTTTGTCATCTTGCCACCATACGATATTCTTTTGGATTCACTAAATGATACATTTTTCTTGTTAGTTAATGATATGGTGTATCTGTCATTTTGCAGTGTTGATGAAAGATGTTACCATGAAGAATTGATGATGTGAACCTGGGCGATGTGTTACGAATTGTTATTGACGTTTCCAACAAATTTTGCTATATGTACATATTTACGACGTTTAGGCAGCTCAGTTTTTGGACAAAACTATGTAGTTTGAAATTGATATTATTAATTATTCCTCTATGTTTTGAGATTTGTTGACTTGATTATCGTTTATGAGATTAGTAATTATACTGAATCGGAAGTTTTAAAATATAATTGAAATTGAATTTCTAAATTATAATTGAATTGGGGTCTGGAAGCAATGCCAAACAAAGTGTCACTAGAACATGTGATGTAAAAGGGTCGCCAAATAGTTATGTCGCCAAGGTATCACTATTTATTGATACTTGAGTGTCACTAGAGTATATGATGTAAAAGTGTCGCTGAATAGCTATGTCGTCAATGTGTCACTATATTCTGATACTATAGTGTCACAATTCTGTGACACTTGTAGTGACACTTAAAAAGTGTCACTTGTAGTCGCTAGCCCTCACTTTCAGTGACACTTTTTTAGTGTCACAGAAACTTTCAGTGACACTAATTTGATGTCACTGTAAGCTCACTACGCTTTCAATAAGAACACGTCAAATGACATGTTCCACGCATTATTTTTTTTTTGGATGAAATGTAAATTTATATTGACACCCAAAGAAAACTATACATCATGGGTTCTAGATCTCCTAACCCCCCACCCCTACATAGTGTAGGGGTAAGAAGAGGTTTTTATTCAATCTAATCAAAGGTCAAACACTCAAAAAGGACCTAAGTATACAATACTAAATGCCCAAAAATCACAAAAGAAAATGGTGTTGCCATGTTGCACGCACACAGATCATAACAATACATCAAAACAGATGCGAACATCCCAGCCAAGAGGAAGTTATAGTGAAAACTCCCCTTAGCCCCAACCAGAAGTCCGATGTGTTGCAAGGTGCACACACAAGTCCAAGGAGGTTACGTTGCGGCTTCGGCATCCATCATCAAAAGTTGATCAGTTCATGCGGGTATAAGTTGTATAGGACCTTATACACCACATGCTTGATCTTAGCAATAATATCTCCCTCCGTCTTTGATCCCCCCTCAAATCGTATCTCATTACGCCCATGCCAGATATAATAAACTGTGGCGCAGAAAGCTAGGCGGGCTGCCTTTGCCTTTGGCGTCGATCCTCTATGAGTCTTCATAATCCACTTCACGGCACTTAGCAAGGTGGTCATATCATGCCCAAGTCTCATCCAGTTCCTTATGTGCTGCCACACCCTACAAGTAAAGGGGCAAAGGAAAAAAAGGTGTGGTATTGTCTCCAAATCACCCTTGCACAGGTCACACCTATTCACAATGTGTAGATAACCGAGGCTATCCTGGGTAGGAAGCCGGTTTCTTAAAGCCAACCACACGTTAAAAGATAGTTTGGGGGGAATGTAGGATTTCCATATGAAACTCATAGGAGTCCTGACATTACCCTTAACTCTAAGTAAATCATAAATTTTGGCGGAGGTTAATTTTCCATTTGTGGAACGGGAATTAAGGCCAAGAATCGTATCATTCAAGTTATTAAAACAACCCCGGATCTTATCTCGAATGAGACTAAGTCGCTTCATGAGCTGGGAGTCTCGAGTGTGTGGGACAAAATCCCACACGGTTTTACCCTTGAGGTATACACCGTTCACCCAACGAACCCAGAGCGTGTCTTTCTTTAGATGTACATCCCAGAGGGTGCGAGAAAGGAGGGCATGATTCCATATCTTAGCATTGTTAATGCCAAGGCCGCCTTCCTCTTTGGGGAGGCAAATATCGTCCCAAGCCACCTTTGCGAATTTGCCACCCCATAAAAAAATACGGCATATCGAAACAATTCTATCAAGAATAGTTTGAGGCACCGGAAACACTTGGAGCCAAAACGATTGGACCCCTTGGATCACCGATCATATTAGCTCAAGTTTACCTGCATAGGAAATCGCCTTGGTGTTCCAGGTGCTTAAAAACTCATTTACCGTGCTTAAAAGCTCCACAGAATGTCTTGCGTTTACAATGGGATGATCGCCTATTTGTATGAAAAGTAAGTAATGCTCTTCTGAGCGTTTCGTCCGTCGTGACAGTTTCAGACCCGTCTCAAATTGGCTAACTCCCCTACTTAATTACATTAATTATCATTTTAATTTTAATATCAATACATGAAGTACGCTAGTCCTAACAATCAACATTAAATATTATAAATGTTTATTAACTTTCGTGATCAATTCTCATAAATGTAGAATTGAATTGTCAAATATATGCTCACACACTGTTTAAGTCTAATGAATAGATTATTTCATAAACAATGCAACATTTTTTAACATTCATACTTCTAAAAAGGTTTGGGACTGAAATGGGAAAATAACCATCTGGTAGATCAGGTCTTACAAAAATTTGTAGAAAATTCCCGAAATAGGTGTAAAAAAATTCAAAATTTCAAAATAGGAGTATCATGTTTTTTATTCCTTGAATAGGAGTAAATTCTTGCCAAATTTGACATCACTAGGCTTTAAAACATGGCATTATCCCCAAAAATTGACAGATTACTCATATTCAGAGAATAAAAAACATGATACTCATATTTTGGAATTTCAAAACATTTTTGCTACTATTTAAAGCAATTTCTAAAATTCGTAACACCTGAGTACGGATCTAAGTTTCCACCCCTTCCGCCTAGGACCGGTATGTCTGGAACTAGAACTGGCCATCTCAAATCACCATTCGGCCATGTATAGCGAGTTGAGATTCGATTTTTTAACAACAATAAAATACACATAAAACAAACACGCGCGAAAGTACGATAATTGAAAAGTTAGAAAATCCCACCCTCTCTCATCCTGTAAACGTTACTAACATGTTGGTGAGAGAGCAATTTGTTCACATGCCACATGGCAGCACCAGGCGTGAACATCACCCAGCCTCCTCAATGAGAGTGTACAAAATTACTCTCTGCTCTGAACATGAGTGCGATTTCGTTAACCTCTCTGAGGATTAACATCATCTCCTTCCTTCCCTAGCTGCCATGTGGTATCATATTTCATTTTTCCCGTAATTTTTTTTTAATAAATTTTGTATTTATTATTTAATTTTTATTAAAATATACTCCCTCAATCTCAAATTGTAAAATACATTTACTATTTACTTAGTTAACATAAATTACTCTTAATCTTTTACTTTATATATCAAAAGTGAAAAGTTTATGAAATTTGAATTATTTTTTGCAGGTTTTGTAGCGGTTTTAATGTAGTTTCCGAATATGTAAATTTTATTTTCTAAAACTAATTTAAGTGTTGACCGTAATGTGTTTTATTGTCGGTTAAACATCGTAAACCGTAATGTGTCTTACAAATTAGGACGGAGGGAGTATTAGATCTAATAATTTTTTATAAGTATATTAAAACTGAAAAATTTAAATTAATTCCCAAATAATACTCTCTCCGGTCCTAAATAAACTTCACACTTTCCTTTTTGGGTAGGTCCAAAATAAACTTCACACTTCTTCTCCCTTCCTTATTTGAAAAATTATCTACATCAAACAGTGCATAATAGTGCAAAACAGTGTCAAACAATGTCATAACAATGTACTCTACAGTAAAGTCAAATTTATTTCCTTAATTTGTGTGAAGTCAAAGTATGAAGTTTATTTAGGATCGGAGGAAGTAATAAATTGACCTTCACACATAGCATATAATTAGGGTGGGGTGAACATCATCTCCTTCTCGGGCGAAGAGTGTATACGAGTGGACGTAGTTTAACCGGGAGATAAGGAGTGCCATAAGAGGTAAGTTCATTCTGCAAATATGAACTTGTTATTAAAATCCAATTTAGATGTCTCATCCATTTTGATGGCCTAAGGGTTGGAGTGTATTACTACGTACTAGAAAAGGGAATTACTGCGTATTCCTTTTTACTACTGTTCCATATCATGCTAACGTACACTATTAATTTAGGGAGGTCGTTGAGAAGGACACGGCAGGAGAGACGGGCAGAGGAACAGTTGGTCATAACAGAATGGGCCCCACTTTGGTCCAACATGCACGGTTGACAAGCCCTTTCAGCCGTCCGATTTGGGGACGTTTCAGACGGCCTACAATGATTTGTCAAGTTGCCAAGAGTAGCAGGTGGGGCCCTCCCACCCCTCCTCTCTGCAGCGGAGAGTATTCCGTGCTTAGTGCGTGGCACTGCCAGAGGTGGGACCCGAGACGTGCGGTGGGGGATCTCTGTTCTCCCTTTGCTTTCTCTGAACAAAAACCTATACATACACAACTAGTACGTGTATGTGTATGTATTGCTCCATCAATTCTCAGTTTATTGCCCAATTATTTCAGCGTTGGGCGATTCAGGTTTTGTCCAGGAATCAAATTTCAGGAGTAATGTTGGAATGAAAGAATTATACTCCATATTTTTGTTTGTGAAGAATATGAAAAAATTACATTACCACGTCTCTCGAAACTTACTCCCTTCATTTCGAAATTAACTTTTCACTTTTCTTTTCGGACAGTCCCAAAATCAAATTCTCACATCTTCCTTTTTCCTTGTTTGGCAAATTATTTAAATCAAAACAATGCAAAACAATGTTAAACAGCGTCGGAACTGTGTCAAAACAGTGAAATTTACCCCCTAGTAAATTTATTTCCTTAACATGTGTAAAATCAAAGTGAGAAGTTAATTACGGGACAGAGGGAGTAACAAAGTAAAAATTGTGTGTTTTGAATTCGATAAAGATCGAAGAAACGGAAGTAATTGAAATCACAAATTAATTTACTACAAGTATAAGTGGTAAAGTCGACAACCATAAAAGAAAATGTGATTAGTGATTACGCATAGCTATAGTGATGTAAACTTTGAATACCATGATATTCACCAATATTTCCATCATTTTCAAAGAAACCAAAGATTCACTATTTTTTGACTTGAGAATACGATGAAATAAAGCAAAATAGTTCACACTGTCTACGCTTCTTTGTTATGAAACAGCAGTCAGTCCATGCAATTTTTGACGCGATTTTGATTATAGGTCATCTGGAACAGTGTCTATGCTTTAGGACAGGGATAAGACTGCATACATCTGACCTCCTCTTACTCCACCGTAGGTGGGGAGCCTTTGTGGCACTGGGTAAATTTATTTTTTTGTAATATTGTAAGAAAAAACTCATTTCAAAGTCACTCTGTTTCAATTTATATACTCCCTCCGTTCCTAAATAAACTTCCAACTTTCCTTTTTCGTCCGTTCCAATTAAAACTTCCACTTTTCCTTTTTAGTAAAGAATTTGTGGTTCACAACATTTCTTACACATTTCTCTCTCCTCTGCACAACTCTCCACCACATAATACCCACTATCTTAAACTCTGTGCCAAACCTATTTGGAAGTTTTAATAGGAACGGAGGTAGTACAACAAGTACCTATATGCACGTTAGTTAAGAACAATTTATTTTTAAAAACAAACTAGTTTCATTTGTTATTCATGTAACTAACTCAAGAATTATTCACATTTTTTGATTATTACATAGTTCCAAGTAAAAAAATTAAGTCACTCATTAAAACAAAATTAAATTGCTAGTGTCATATTTATATCCGTATACCGAGTTAAGACTAGGGGTGGACACGATTGGTTAACCGCATTTTGATTAATCAATTTTTGAGTTAACCGTTATTTCGATTAATATTTCTATAATACGGAGTATCATTAACCGTACCTTAACATGGTAGAACTTGAGAAAGGATGGCGGCATGCGTCATGCGTGAGGTATTTAATCCACGCATACAATTAGTGCAAGTCTTCACTCTTACAAAACTTATATTAGGTTCTACAAGTAGCCAAGGTTGGCTTACACGCACCCATATTAACATTGCCTAAACTTATATTAGTGAGAACAATTTTTCATTCATTTCTAAATAAGTTTATACAACATAATACTAACTCCGTTCATATTAAAACTTCCAAATAGGTTTGGCACAGAGTTTAAGATAGTGGATATTGTGTGGTGGAGAGTTGTGCAGAGGAGAGAGAAAAGTGTAAGAAATGTTGTGAACCACAAATTCTATACTAAAAAGGAAAGTGGAAGTTTTAATTGGAACGGACGAAAAAGGAAAGTTGGAAGTTTAATTAGGAACGGAGGGAGTATACACTAGTGTTCACTTTACGGAGTACTACCTATTTAGATAAGGTTCCAGCCAAAGCCTAGTATAGGAGAAGTTGGGAATGAGCAAGAACAACCTGTTTTCAGAGTGAGGCTTGGTGACAAGATATTGCATAATATTCCCTTCGCTCCGAATTGTAAGGCATTTTACGGTTTACGATGTTTGACCGACGATAAAGCAAATTGATCGCTGTCAACACTCAAATTAGTTTTAGAAAATAAAATTTACATATTCAGAAACTACATTAAACCGCTACAAAACCTGCAAAAATAATTCGAATTTCATAAAATTTTGATATTTAAAGTAAGCGATTAAAGTGATTTGTGTTGAAAAAGTGAATATGAAATGAATCTTACAAAATGGGACCGAGAGAGTAAGATGTTCGACCCTCATCCTTCGCGTGAAGGCAGATATGGCTGAATATGATTTTTCTAAAATGTTTGGTTAACCAATTAAAGGTTAACCCATATTAAGGTAAAAGTTACACGGTTAATCGGCGTTTACGATACGATTATTGATATTATAAACATGATAACCGATATCTCGATTAACCATAAATTGGTTAATCAATCACGCCTACTCTTCACTTGGATGGTCCACTGATGTTTTTTTTTTGAAAAAAGTTTTACACATAAATTTTTACACATAGTTTATTTGTGGAATTTGTCAACTAAATCAAATCAGGCCAAACCAGATCAGACCAGATCAAACCAGATATCCTTACACAAAATCAAATTCGGAGTAATAACAAAGAATTTAGTTGATTTCGTGAATAAATACTTGACTGACTGATGTTAGGTCCCCGTGCTCATTAAATTGTGAATATGAATTTGATTTTGTTGGGTTTAAAATGAGTTCAGAAAGTGAAAGCCAACTTAGAATGTTTGATTTCAAACGAAACTGAAATGCTAACCTCGTATTAATTGTTTTAAGAATAAAAATAAAAATTTGACACATTCACGAAAATATTAATTCATTTTAGAGCATATGGTATATGTTACTCCCTCCGTTCCCAAAAATACTTCCCACTTTCCTTTTTGGGCTGTTCCCAAAAATACTTCCCACTTTCCCATTTTGGACAATTTGTGTGGCTCACATTCATTTTACCTTTTTCTTACACAACCACAACCATACATTTCCACTTTATTCCACTTTCTTAATAAGCGTGCCAAGTCAAACCGGGAAGAATTTTTAGGAACGGAGGGAGTATAAGTTCGGGTATACAATAGGATTATAGGATATGAACAAAACACCACAACCTTTATTTCCCACTTTGATGTTTTTGTCACGGTCCTTGGTGACTCTCAGTCACTTCTCACTCCATTACTTTATTATGCTTTAAACCATATTTTTTCTTGTATCATATTCCTTTTCTAAAAATATTCCTTTTCTAAAAGATGTTTTTTATTTATAACATATCCATTTTGCCTTAATATTTTTATCCTCACTTTTCTATTTTGTAACCTTTTCATCTTCTTTTTCCTTATTTTCCATCAATTCTCTAATACAGAGTACTTTTACACTAATTCTATAGTAAATATAGAGTTAGTGGACAAAAATGTGAGTTTTATGCTTTAATGATTATTATGGTTACTTTAGTGAATATAATTGTATTAATTCTTTGATATATTTACTACGCATAATAATAGTACTCCTTCCGTCCTATAATTTACTTCCAACTTTCCCTTTTCGTTTGTCCCAAAAAGAACTTTCGTTTCCTTTTTTTGGCAAAGAATTTGTGGATCACAGTCATTCTTACACATTCTTACACATTTCTCTCTCCTCTGCACAACTCTCCACCACACAATTCCCACTTTCTTAATCCGTGTGCCATTTGTACTATGGAAGTAAATTCTGGGACGGAGGGAGTAATATTTTTGTCCATGATTCATACTGTATTTCACTAATATTTAAGGGAAATGCTCAAAACTTATTGGTGCAAATAAATAACGGATGTAATGTACTCCCTCCGTCCCTAATCTTTCTCCCTTTTCGGCTGGGCACATTTATTAAGATAGTGGGATTTGTGTGGTGGAGAGTGGTGCAGAGGAGAGAGAAATGTGTAAGAATGTGTAAGAATGGTTGTGAACCACAAATTTTTTGCTGAAAGGGGGGAAGAGGAGATAATTTTGGGACGGACGAAAAAGGAAAGTTTGAAGATAATTTAGGGACGGAGGGAGTATATTTTAGGGAAAACTATCAAATAAGCCCTCGTACTATACCGAAAAGGTCGATTAGGCTCTCGTACTTTACAAACACTCAATTAAGTCCTCGAACTATTAAAAAACGTTCAATTAAGCCCTTTCGGTCGGTAAGTAACCGGTTTCCCGGTTAAATGTAACTTGTTTCCCGGAAGCCGCCGTTGCTGGGGTTCGAGCACATCGTCGCCATCGTCGTCGTTTAACCGGGAAAGCAGTTACTTACCCACCAAAAGGGCTTAATTGAACGGTTTTTAATAGTTCGAGGACTTAATTGAGTGTTTGTAAAGTACGAGTGCCTAATCGACTTTTTTGGTATAGTACGAGAGCTTATTTGATAGTTTTCCCATATTTTTAAACAGCATACAATGTACTCAAATGAAGATAATAAACTAACTTATGATTTTTAATAAGGAGCACATAATAACCATAAGAGATAAGAGCAACTATAATAGTCATGTAAGTATAATAGCCAAAATGACTATAAGAGTAACTATAATAGTCATGTAAGTATTTAACTTTAATTTACTTAAAGCATGATGGTATATATTCGGTCTCTCACATTTTCTCATAAATTTATTTAGGAATTGTCCTAAATAGGAGCAAAAACGTTTTGAAATTCTAAAATACGAGTTTCATGTTTTTTATTCCCTGAACAGGTGTAATCTGCCAAATTTGGAAGAAAATGACATGTTTAAAGCCTTGTAATGCCAAAGTTTGCAGAAATTTACTCCTAATTAGGGAATAAAAATCATGATGATCCTATTTTGAAATTTCAAAACTTTTTTACTACTCCGTACTATTTAAGGAATTCTCTCTACTTTATTTAATTATGGAGTAATATTTAAAAAAACTATTATTTTATACGCAGTATTTCATAATCGCGATCTTTGACATGTTCACTATTTTAATTGTCACCAACTTGTTTTTTTCATGTCCAACTTTATATATCAAACGTGAATGGCTCCATGACATTGTAATTATATTCTTGCGCGCAGCTTAATAGAACATTCTTATAGTTTCTAAACTTTCTACAAATTTAAAATTAATTAATATATGGCGGAAATTCGGAAAATAATGACTTGATCAGTGATAATATAAAAAAATTAATCACAATAATCCTACAATTTCTGGTCGATTTATATTGTTTAAAAACTTGGCTCTTAGATCCCTCACATATTAAAATTATCACATAAGATCGCTTATTTGTTGTAACATTTTTATTCTAAAATTGACCTAAGAGTCTTTTTAATCAAGCACTCAAAAGATGGGCTAACTATCAATTAAGTAAAAGTGTGTGAATGATAAAAACTGTCCATATATACTTCCTCCGTCCCTGAAAATACTTCTAACTATCAACTTTTTGTCATCCGTCTCAAAAACAATTTATCTTTCCTTTTTGGCAAAGAATTTGTGGTTCACACAATTCCCACTTTCTTAATCCGTGTGCCACTTTATTTTGGAAGTAAATTAAGTGAAAGAGGTAGTAGACTGGATGGTTGAAAAGCTATCAATCAACACTTGATATATCGAGAACTTTCGTTTTTTACTTGAAACAATTCCTTTTTTATGGATTATTTGAAACCATTCTAATACTATTTTTTCCTGTCTTAAATATGGGTAGAACATTATATGAATTTCAATATAAGACTACATTGTTTTTATTCTTTAGATAAAAATCATTGCAATATGTTGACATTACCAAACTTTAATTTAAGAATGACACTATTTTTCAAGTCTGGCAATAATAACCCTTATTTATAGAATAAATACATAACATTTTTATCTTTGAATTCTAAAACGCTTTTAAACCTACTTCAAGAATTTTCTCTTAACTTTTTTTTGCAAAATCTTCTAACCTGTTATAGTACATGTTCTATGTTAAAGCCAATCCGTGAGCTACTCATTGAAAGTGTCATAGTAATGTCATCAAACAACAAGGTAATTGGCTTCTTTTAGCTGGATTAGTAAGAATTATTTTTTTAAAAAATAGTGTGACTATAATAAACAAGAAAAATGTTTGGTGTACACTTTTTTATATACACATTTCGTACACTCGTTTGTCTCACGCAAACAAAGTTGTACACCTAGCACAACACAATAAACAATTCACATAAAAGTTGGAGTATGTGGCAATCAATTTTTCCAATTAAAAGTAAAACCCGCAAAAAACGGAATCTTAAAACAGGGAGGAAGTATTAACTTTTCCTTGAAGCAGTTGCTTTTCCTTTTAGAGTAACTCCTTTCCACTCACCTTCCATCTTCTTGCTTTTCATGTTACGAAAAGAGCACTAATAATAATTATTAACATAATACGGTGCATTAATAATAACAATAACAATAATATAGTAGAAGCAACCTATAGCCTTCTCCTTTCATCTCAGTTTTAAAGTGACATCCCAGTTTTCTTAGAAACTTTCTATTTTGGGCGTTTATTCTAAGACTTCTTTTTTCAGATTTGAACTTCAAATTTCATGGTGGGTGTAACGCATTACTTTTTCTGGTAGGAGTGCCTTTATTCTCTCATTCATAACTACACGTTTTATGTTGCATTATTTGGTCTAAGAATGATTATTTTCACCATGTTTTCCATTTATAAAGTTGGCATTTTTCTTTTTTCCTTTACTACAAAAGGAAGAAGACAGATTCTCTTGTTGAGGAGGGGGGCTATTTCTGTAAAAAAAGACATTCTGATTCCCTTGACACAAAAATGCTTCTTTGATTTAATGCCACTATAAAGCTTACACCTTTATACATTTCCTCTGGTTTCTTTCCTCTCCTCTGCTCATATCATCATCAAGAAAAGCTCTCAAAAACCTTGGAGCCTTTATCAGATGAAGTGGGAAATGGAGATTCTATCCCCAACTTGCTCTAATCACAACCTGTCAAATTCAAGCTGGTTAGTTGCAGAAAGGCAAAGTACAAAATGGACCCATTCTGAGAACAAAGCCTTCGAGAACGCCCTCGCTCTGTACGACAAGGACACGCCGGACCGGTGGGAGAAGGTGGCGGAAATGGTTCCCGGCAAGACGGCGGCGGATGTGATTTTGCAGTACAGAGAATTGGAAGAAGATGTCAGTTGCATAGAAGCTGGTCTGATGGATTTGCCGCCCCTCTTCCCTCCTCCGAGTAGTTTCACTTCTCCATTCACACTTGATTATTGGGGAAATAGCGGCGGCGGATTCGATGCTCACGGACGTTCTTTCGCCGCCGGTGGGAAGAGACCGCCGTCTAACCGGGCGCATGAGCAAGAAAGGAAAAAGGGCGTCCCTTGGACGGAGGAAGAGCACAGGTTTAGACCCTTTTTTCCTTATAGTTAACAAGTTAGATTAAGATTCAACATTTTATCTAAATGCAGGTAACTATGTATTTAATTCTCCTAATAGACATTAGCCAAAAACCATATAACATCACACATTTATAGCTACTATTAAAAAATCAAGATTTTCTTGTATTGAGGAGAACAATCATTTTATTTGTACACACCGCCTTACACGCTAAGTATATTTTTGTCTATACACAGACAATTGATTTTCATTTTAGTAAAGAGAACTCTATGACCCAGAAAAAAGTGTGTTATTCGGGGTTACAAATAATTCACTTTTTCGAAGTTACGAACAGTTCTTTTTAATATAATGAAAACAGCTCTTTGTACACTAACAAAATACACTTGGCTTGTAAATCCACGATAACAAGTGACATTTTTGTGAGTAGAAAGATTGAATGTTTGTTACACGCAGATTGTTCCTAATGGGGCTAAAGAAGTATGGAAAAGGTGATTGGAGAAACATTTCTAGGAACTTTGTGGTAACAAGGACACCAACACAAGTAGCAAGCCATGCTCAGAAGTACTTCATTAGGCAACTCTCAGGCAGTAAAGATAAGAGAAGGGCCAGTATTCATGACATCACTACTCTCAACCTCAATGACAACAAAGTCCGATCACCGGAGAACAAGAAACCTCAGACGATGTCACCGGAGTCCTTGCGAACAAATTCTGATATCCATAGAATGCCTCCTCAGTGGAACCACCATCAGCAGGGGAGTAATAATGGGTCAGTCTTGGGGGGTTTTAGCCCAGCTCATCAAGGTATATATTTTGGGACATGCCCTTATGGGATAGGGTCATTGGGAATGAATAGGATACAACAAGGGAGTGCTTCTTTGCCAGATTCTTACTTTGGACCCCAAAGAGGGTCTCTTCATGTAAAATCAGATGTGCAGCATTACCATCATGTTCAATAATTGAGATGTCACCCCCCTAAAAAAGTGGTGAATTTACAACTTTTCCTCTTCTATCATGTAAATATGTTTTTGCAATTTTCATTTAGTCTTTTCAGTAAGAAGCTCAGAATTCTGATTTGGTAGTTTTGAAAACAAGAGATCCATTATGTTCCAAGAAATATTTTGTATTGAAAGAAAACCATCCATGGATGGAAAATCGATCTCTTTTGGAAAATTCTAAAATATGATAATATGTCACTGGCGGGGGCGTCTCATCCGTCATTCCGTCAATGTGATTAAATCTCCGAGAAACTTTTCCCCATGCATTTTTATGAGACTTTCTATATTGTGAATGCTTAAGCTCAAAGATTCAAAGAAGAATCGAAGAAGAAGAGCAACAGAACGTATGATTCAGAGCATGTAAGCGGAAGAAGAAGAAAGAAAGAGTTTCATACCTAATTTACAACTGTTCAGTCTAATTCTTACTACGTACTAAATACGAATGGGCCTGTCTAATATAAAAGCAGAATACAAATAGGCCCAAAAGCTAATGTGAAGTCCAAGTAAAAATAATATTCACAGTCCAGAGCATTTAGTATTGATACGTCCCCTCAAGAGGAGCATGAATGTCCATCATGTTCATCTTGACTGCAAATTGTTTGAATAATGGATTTTCAAGAGCTTTTGTATATATATTTGCCAGTTGAAAATCATTCTTAATATGTTTTAAAGTAATCAAACTAGAATTTATTTTCTCCCTAATTAAGTGACAATCTAATTCAATATGCTTGGTTGTTTGGTGTTGAATGGGATTATGAGCAAGATGATAGGTGGATTTATTATCAGTATATATAACAATGGGTAAAGAAAACTATATATGTAATTCTTTAAGAATATAGTATAACCACTGGGCTTCACAGACTGCATTTGCAGCTGCTCTATATTCGGATTCCGTAGAAGATCTACTAACAACTTGTTGTTTCTTGGATTTCTAAGAAATCAAGGAGTTGCCAATATAAAAGGCATAACCTGAGACACTTCTTCTAGTGTTTATGCAAGAAGCCCGGTATGAATCAGTATACCCTTGAACAGAAAAATTAGAACTAGAAGAATAGAAAAGACCTTTACCCAGAGAATGTTTAAGATATCTTAAAACTCTATGAGCTGCACTATAAGCTATATCAGGTCTAGTGACAGTTAGATAAAGTAATTTTCCAATTAAAGTTCCGTAAATTTTAGGGTTGTCTAAAACAGTTCCATTATTTTTAGAAAATTTTATTTTGGAGTCCATTGGAGTTGTATAAGGTTTGGAATGAAGATAACCATACTCATTTACAATATCCAGAGTGTAGAATAGCTATGAAAGATATCCACAGTCCAGAGCATTTAGTCTTGATATATATCCTCCACCGGTAGCTTTATAGTGTCACTAAAAAAAGCTTAGAGAATGGGGGATAACTTGAAATAGATGAACGGGTTTGATGGTATTTAGAGGAATCGCTTTCAATTTCTCGTTAGAAAATTATTAAAAACATCATCAACGAAAGACTCCCCGTTAACCAATAAATTAAGGTAACATTGGTGACAGTTTTCTTTAAATTTATTGACATTGATCCCTAAATGCTCTATAAAAAGCTACCCCTCCCTTCCATTACAAGGTTTCCACTATCCATTTTTGAACGTCCCATGTAAAGATTCTCATTTTCAATTTAGGAAACAATTAATAATCTTAAGTTACAAATTAATCATTAAATATTAAAAATAATACATTTATAACATCACATTTATCAATACTATAACTAAATTATAATATATACCTATTAAAATGATTTCTTAAAATATACTCGAATTACTTTATTTAATTTATTTAATTATTAGTGTTAAACTCCATAACGCCTAGTTTCAATCTTCTGTAAAAAGCAAGTGCTTAGGGTGCATTATTAATTTACTATGTTGACAATTGACGAGTAGAAGTGAACATCTATAATGATCATAACAAAGTCAATCATGGTCAATTAATGCAAACTGGCATGTGACAAACCACTATTTTGTGCAATTCCACGGTCTCAACTCTCAAAGTCAATCATGTCCCAAGCTCCACTTTAGTGGTATATGAACATTGAATAATACTTAATATTTCAACTATTAAAAGTGCACACACTTAGTTAAATCAAAATCACTTAAATAATACGGTGAGTGCGATAAGCACTCCCATTTTTATATATTGTTCATCATAAAAATAAATAATGATTTTGATGCAGATTTGTCACGAATTGAAACCAAATTTTTATCACGCCTCCGTGTCATTTTCACGCTCAAACAATTTTTGAAAGTAATTTTGATATGAATTTCACAAGGATCCCCTCATGTAGGCTTGGACTCGGGTCGGGCCTAATCAGGCTTTTTTTTTTGTTTCTTGAGGCCCGGAACCGGCCCGGGTAGCTACCGGGTCTTGGCCGGGCCCTGACCGGGCCGGGCCGGGCCCTTGGTTGGGTACATTATTTTTTATTTATTTTCTAATTACTTCCTACCCCCTACCCCCTCAGACCTCAAACCCCTCCAAAACACCCAGCCCAACCCATTTACCTTTATAAGAATTTGAAAACCCAAATAAATAAATAAATTTGGCCCGAACGGGTCGGGCCAATTATTGTTTTTAAGACTCGGAGTCTACCTCAAAACAGTACCGGGCCGGGTGGCCCGAACCGGGCATGGACCCAGGCATCGGGCTGGGCCGGGCCGGGCCAACACAGTACCAAGCCGGGCCGGTTACGGTCCGATTGACCCGGCCTGAGTCCATCCCTATCCTGATGTAGTATATTTTTGTAGTGAGAATACACAACCTTGTGCTTTTTTGTAGTCTATGCTCCACTTGTTCAAGCATCTTATTCTTAGAAACCCCACATAAAACAATGCAAACCCTTTTGTTTGAAATCATTAGGCTAGGCTGTGGCGAAAAGAATTATTCCAATGCTTTTTTTGGCTAGATGGTTACACTCTTTTTTTGTTTTTGTTTTTGTTGGGAATGATACTACTCATGAAAAGAATTGAATCTGATAATGCTACTAAATAAATAAAGGTGAATAATAAAAGTGCGAATAAAGACTTGATGATGTGGTTGGTGACTTGGTGGGCTTGTTGGCTAGCAACGGTTGTGCAAGCTCCAATTTTATATTGTTGACTTCTTTTTATTGGAGAAATTCCAATTATTGACTTTTAAAGGTAGTTTGCTGGGTTCCAAATATTTAATTCTTGGTGCTTGGATATTGACCTAACAATATCCAGCCCACTAAGTAAGAAACGGAATTGCTAGATTGGGTCTTGGGGTAGCCCAATTGGCCTCGAATGCGCAGTCCTGTCTACAACAGTAAATAATCAGATTTATGAGAGGTTAATTCTATTTGCATTGCCCAAATTACTAATTACAACCATTTAAATAAGTATTAATAAATAAAATAGTTTTAAGGGGTTTTGACATGAATAGTACTAAAAAATACTTCATCTGTCCCTAAAAAGTTTGCCAAAGTTGACTGCCACAAGTAATTAGGTAGAAGAGTTTTTGTGTTTGACCAGACAAAAAAGCCCTCCTTTATCCTCTCACAAAGTTACTCCGAAGTAAAGTAAAACTGAAATTACATAAAGTGGGAGAGAAGAAAGTACACAACAGTACATGTGCAGAAAAAGGGACTGTCTAAATCAACAAATCAACCTACAGTACAATACAAATTGCTATGAAAAAAAGGGAGGGAAACAAGACTCAAAACTTTCCAAAAATCAGGGATAAAAATGTTTTCCATTGTTCCCTCCATTTCTACACCCATAAATACACCCCACAGAGCAAAACTTCATTACTCCTGCTAACCACTCATCTTCTACTTTATAAATGGATCTTAATGCTCTTTCAGATCTCCATCTCCTTGCCTAGAGCTGCATCTTTATATCCCTGATGAAGGACATCAAACACAAATAATTAGTGCACACAGCCAAAGCAAAAGAAAAAACAATGTCTTAAATGACAATGATAGAACAAGAGCTGTGGAGACACTTGTATCAAAGGCAGTCAATGGGAAGCTTAAGGGAGGCATAATAAAAGCAGTAGCGAGTGAGTTTAATATCTCTAGACGCACACTTTCCGGAATATGGCAGAAGATAGTCTAACAAATCAATGCAGATCAAGGTATTAATGTCCTCCCAAAGTGGAGGGGGAATGTTGGGAGAAAAATAGTACAACTTGACATTGAGAAGATAAAACACATTCCCATTTATAGAAGAAGTACTCTCAGATCCCTGGCAGTAGAGCTTAACTCCTCAAAATCAGCAGTTCACAGATATGTCAAGATGAAGGCAATAAAGAGGCATTCAAATGCAGTGAAACCATTTTTAACAGAAAGAGGTAAAAGGAGTAGAGTGCAGTTCTGTTTAAGCCATTTACTTCCTCATTCAATTCCCTTAAACCCCACGTTTCATGAATTTTATGATTATGTGCATATAGATGAAAAATGGTTCAATCTAACAAAGGAAGTTGAACATGTCTATATGGACCCTGATGAAACTGACCCCTACAGAGAAGTGCAAAGTAAAAGGTTTATCCCCAAAGTGATGTTTCTGGTAGCAGTGGGTAGGCCTAGAATAGGAGATAATGGGAAGGTTTTGTGGGATGGGAAGATTGGTACTTTTCCTTTCACCTTTCAAGATACAGCAAAAAGGAAGAGTAAAAACAGGGAAAGGGGGACATTAGTGACGAAGCCTATAGTTAGTATCACAAGAGAAGTAATAAAGGAATTTATGATTCAAAAGGTGTTGCCAGCAATAAAACAAAAGTGGCCTGAAGATGGGAACAAACACATTATCATTCAGCAAGATAATGCTAAGCCGCACATTGACTGTGATGATAATCAGTTTGTGTCTGCTGCAACTGGAGATAGATGAGATATTAAGCTAAGTTGCCTGCCACCTAACAGTCCGGATCTTAATGTGTTAGATCTAGGATGGTTTAGGGCAATTGATGCACTAAAGCATCAAAAGGGTTCAAAAAACATTGATGTTAACAACAACTTTATTTGTAGGATTATTTCTTCTATGGTACATGCTCACTTTGGAGGAGTCATTTTTTTACTTGGATAATGGGTAAATACATGTATTATGTAAAACAAAGCCAATTGATAAATTCAAAACCCAAAACTTCACACAAGTAAATA